TTACAATCAACACCTTCCATTTGAATTGTAATAGATTTATCCGTAGCTGTATTCCATAAACATCTTGATCCAATAAATAATCCCGAAGCTGTTTTAGTTTAACTAGTGTTTTCTTAGTTTGATTCATCTATATGTATATAAATGCTTCTTGAATAAAATTTGGTTTTCAATAAATTCTATGGTATCTTCCGGTTTATCGACCCATTTTTTTTTCTGAATAATTTAAGAATTTACACTGAAAAAACCTTGCATTAAAGAGAGAGAGAGAAATAAACTAAACAGTCATGACACTATATCCGGCATTTGTACACTAAACGTTACCATCAGTAGAAAGGCTAGAAAAATGCTTTCGATTATCAGAGTATATGTGTAGATATTTGGGCTTCTATTTCTTCTACAATCGACAAGTGAAGAAACGTGACCAAACTAAATTCAATATCTAAAGATACAAATGGAATTTTATGTTCTACAAAGAAAAATAAAAGATAAAACATTCATTCAAAGTACTGACATCTATTTTATATCAGTGATTTTGTTTTTTGTTTGTAATGTTATTTATTCGTAAAACTACCCATCTTAGTTAGATATAGATAGTCGATTAAAGTATTCCATCATAAATTAATCCAATCACTTGATATCAGTAGAAGACTTGTGATTTTTAAAATTGAATAAATATGAATAACGATTTATCAATCTATTGTTCTTATCTTGAACAATGTTCTGATGAAATTTTTCTTGAAATATTTCAATATATATCATTACATGATTTATATCGTGGCTTTTGTAAACTTAATCAACGCATTAATAATATTCTTCATTCAGTAACAGAACTTTCATTAACATTAGATAAACCAGAAGATATTAATGATGAAGCCGTATGTTTTTTTGCATCGCGTATTTATCATCTTATTGTACAACATTCCAATGTTGTACATTTTAATCGTTTTCCATCATTACGTTCATTAATATCATTATTTCCACATGATCGACAATTATGTTGTATCAAAACAAAAGATTTACCAAATTTAACTCACTTAACTCTTGGTTTTACTGCAATATGGGATTGTGAAATCTCGGTACGATTATGTCGACGAATTATTTCAAATAAATTTCCTAAATTACGTTATTGTTCTTTATGGCCACCTATATTTGAAATTGATATGTCAATAGCTAAAACATCATTATTATCTCATATAGAATTAAAAGAAGGAACTTTTGATGATCTTTATGTTGTACTTAATTCATGTCCAAATTTAAAATATTTACAAGTATGAAAACATGTTTCGCTTTACTATTATAATAATATTCAATCTTTTAACATTTGATAAGTTGATACAATTTTTTGGTTTTCCGTGGCTACTATATAGTGTGAAGTAGTATCTATCTGCTGAGTGCATTGTCAGATCAAAAAGTTGTCGTTAAGCATTAAACAAGTCAGCAAGAAATCCAATTTATGTAACGAAAATAGAGAATTGTGTTTTTCTGAAACTAATTTGTTTATGAAAAAAAGTACAAAAACACCTCGTTTCTTTGACCTAGTATATTCAATCGAGCTGAAACTTTTGTCACATATACTATTCACTGTTTTAGATGGGTATTTGAACGAAAAATACAAAGATACCCACTACAAACAGTGTCTAGTACATGTAAAAAAAAGTTTCAACTTGATTAAACATAGCTTCTGAGAAAAACGAAGAAAGCATTTTTCCCCATTGTGATCCCAGTATCTCATAGAAGATAGCATCAGGAAATTTTCAGTCTATGACAATTTTCGCTCTACCCATCAAATATCTACTTGCTCTGAAAGATTCAAATTTTTCTAATAAACCATTTTTCAGAAGTTCCAGAAAGGACGAGAGATACCCTTAGCACGAATATCATCTGTCTATTGAAGCATGTTGGCTATATTGCTTTTATTATCTATATGTAAACAATAACATGTCATAAGTTTTCAAGAAGTCGAGGTAAATTACAGTTAAACATAATCCATTTATGAACTAAGATACGATTTATCTACTAGATATAATAAATTTATTAATCTTTATCTTTTTATTTATTAATATCTAACAAAATTATATTCTATTAAATGGTTGTTTTTGTTTTGGTTTAAATTAGATGCTTGTTTCCATATATACAACATCTCCAAGTAAATCTGTCAAAAATTTATCTGTTAAACGACTTGATGTCTCATTTATTCGTCGTGACCCAGATTGGATAGAAAAATTTGATCAATTACTTTCATTATTACCCAATGTAAAACGATTATTTATTGATGTATGTGTTATGCAAATTGATTTTAATCAATTATCTCGTATACTTAGACAACGACTTATTCATTTACGTTATCTTCAATGTGAAATACATGCTATTGCATTTCCAATTCATATTAATAATATACGACGATATCATCCACTTTTCGAAAATATCAATTTACAAAATATTAATGAAAATGATTGTCGATGTAATGGAATGAAATTATGTTTGAATGGACATAGAAAAAAATAGATAAATTTAATTATATGAAATAGTTTTTTTTTTTTTTTTAACCATTTTATATATTGTATATATTAGAAGTTTAGATATATATTTTGAAATATACATATTGAATTGAACAGAAAATGAAATGAATATTTTTATCAATAACAAAATTGAGATAAAAAGAAAAATATCTCACTAGTCAATGACAGTAATATAGTTATTAATAAAATCAATCAAAAGTAATTTTAATCCAAATATGAGAAAATCTTTCATGAAGAACTAATATATTCATTTGTAAAAATTTCAATATATGTTCGATTGGTTTTGATTTAATATCATTATTTGCTTATTGAAATGAAAGAATTTTCAACTGATCAATCGTTTTCTCTCGAAAGCTAGCTAATGGATTTAAGGTTATTGACCATGCTAATTTTGAAGATGATCATGAGAAAACTTGTTCAATCTTTGCACACTGATTTTCCAGTCGAATAAACTTTTCGCCAAAAGCATCTTTTGATCTATTCAGATTATATAGCATAACGAATCGCCTATGAACCAGCAACTTTTCTATGTTTCAAATCATTTTTATTTGCAGAAAATACAGTCATTTTCATTTATAGAACAGATACATATTAACATTTCAATCTGAAAATCTTCAAGATGATATTATTTTATTTAAAACTTATTTGTTAGAAGACCAGCATATAAAAACCAAAGAAGATGTGTCGTGATCATCATGATCAATAACCTTCAATCCACTAGTTGTCAATGAAAAAAATGATTGATCAATTGAAAACGTATCCTCGTCAGTCAAATACAGAGAAGTGGAAAATTTATCAGTTAATCTTTATAATAGATTTTAAACAAAAACTAAAAGATTTCTTTATTTCTGATTCAGTAGATATTATTGTCTTCCATCAAATTGAAGCATTAATTGATGACAATGATCAATATCAAATTGAAATTGTCCATTACATATACATTGATTAGGTTTTTCATTATATTTATGATGATTAAATTTTAATGCAAATTGACAATGAATGTCTATAAGAAATACAAAAAAAAATGTTTCTCAATAAAAAATAGAAATATTCTATTAATTTTACCTGATCTACACAAACATTTAAGATTCGTGGAATGTTTCGATAGTACACCATTTGAATAGGAACATGAAATATTTAATATTGGCTTCTTTAGAAAAATAATATAAGATAAATAATAATCTTTGCCAATCTTACTTTATAACACGAACATTGTTGATTGTATATAATCGAACATACACATGGACTAACAAGAAAAAAATCTTTTCCAGAATCAATATAACCTTTAGATGATGACATTATTGTCGAACTCTGATTATTTCCATGATCAAGACCAAACAAATGACCAAGCTCATGTAAATAAGCACCAATTGAATAAAATAAAGATTCAGTTCTAACAAAGTTAAAAGCAAAAGGAATATGAATTTTATCTCAAATTAATTTCATACTTATTTGTATTAAGATTTTCATAGAATTCATCAAATGATATTGGAAGAGAACTAAATTGTTTTGGTAAATTTAATATAATCATATTATTAAATGCTTTAAATAAAATAGAAAGAAAATAGATTGTGGAATTGTTAAAATAACAAAATAATACACAACTAACTATAAGCAAATGTTAATGATGATGAAATAGATGATTTAATGATGAGTTTTATTGATGAATTTTCAACTAAATCCGTTTTATATATTTGACGATAAGTTTCTTTAAATATATCATTACCAGTTAATTTATCTTCGAAATCTTTTTTTAACATTGATATATGATGAATTTTTTTTTCAATATCAAATAATAATGAGCGTTTATATCCTATTTGTTTATAAAGAATTTCATCGAATGTACATCGAACAAGTTTAGTTAAAAAAACAAATTTTTTACATATATTTTCTATATTATGATTAACTGTATCAGAAAATGATACATAAATAAGTCGAACAGTAATATTAGTTGTTTTCAAAGGACTATAGATTAGTGTAAATGATAATTCTGAAGTTAATGTTGACAGTTGAATTATATTTTCACCTGGATTAAGTTCAATATAGATCTATGGAAAGTTTTTATCATACAAAAAAAACAAAAAAGATAACAACAAAATAAAATATCTAATTTTACCTTAAAGAGACCTTGAACAATTGGCCATTTATATTTATTATTGACTAAAATTGTTTCATGATAAATATTATCAAAACCAAATAATTGAATAATTGGTTGATAAACAATTTCTCCTGCTTGATAATTTATAATCCAGATACACATTTAAAATCTTAAATAAGCGATCGTTTTTCAAGTTTCTTCTATTTTGAATAGATAAAATTTATAATTTGTTTTTTTTTTCTAGTGAGTATTAGATATATACCAATGGTTATCTGAAACTGCTAAAGTATTGATGTGAACTATGGTATTCGATTTATGTCTTCAATAATTAAAGGAGTCAGTCGAAAGTTTTGAGAGAAAGTTTTTGTTTATTTTTGACTAATTTGAAGATGTTTTCGAAAAGTCAAAAGCTACAAGTTTTGATCAGAATTTTATGCTCTTTCCAACTGTAGCTTTAGAAATTTTCTCGAGATCATTTGAGATGATCATTTGAAAGGTTTAAACAATAGTTTGAACGGAAAAATTTCTCGTACACTTTTGCATTTTTATTATTACAATTCCAAAGTGATTATTGAAAGCTCTATTAACCCATGAGTTTGTAGAGAAGAAGCTATTCTACCAAATGTACCATTGAAATTTCTTTAAAACTTCTCTTAAATCCTCATTATTGACCAAAAAAGGGTTTAGTATAGAAAAGAGTTCTTGGTACAGTCCCTATAGTTTCACTTAGGTAAAAGTCACAGCTTAGTTCAATGTAACATTTTGTAAAGAAGTATTAGTTCGACAAAGAACCTACTACATTAACTTTTGGCACATTCGAAAGCTAACTTGTAAGAATCAATTAAATGCTATTGGTTCACTATTAAATCTAATTTTTTGAACTTTTAAAAATTAATTTCACTACTCTCAAACAAAAATAGACGAAACATTTCTAATCCCATATTCAAAGAGAACACAAACTTCTGATCATTATCCATAATGTTTCGGCTTGTCTGAGACACTTTCAAGCATATCAAAATAAACAATCATTTGTACTAGAAACTTCAGCTGACACTTTTCGTCCAATCTCATTTTTTGGATCTGGTAAAGATTACCTCACTGCTTTCGAATAAAAACTGAGATAAAATTTCTAAGTTCAGATTCAGAAAGTGCACAACAAACTGATCCTAGTCTATAACCTTTGACTCCTCGGAAACACTTTAAAGGAAGCGAAAAATAAACAATTCTTTTTTTGGTTTTAAAGTTTTCGCACACTCGTTACTATGCATCATATTATAAAGTTATTTACTATATATTAAATAGAATTTTCTAAGACACTGAGTCGAAAATAGTTTTCTTATATTATTCTCTTTCTTTTTTTTTACTACTTCCGTGTAGTATTGATAATTATCTGGAGTCAGAAATTTCTGTCATTGTCTTCTGCAGAGAAGATTACTTCCGCTATTTTACTATATTGTTGAAATTAGAAACTAAAATTTTTCATTCATTGAGATATAATAATCAAAGAAATATAATTGCCTTTATACAAGTGATGAAAAACTATAATTGATTAAGATAAGCATTAATTCATAAATACTCATTCAGTATCAGTTCTATTTTGTACATAGTATATCATTGTAAATATGATTAATAGGATTAGCCACTTTCTAAAAAACTAATACTATTAGACAATGATATTCTGTCGTAACCGAATATTGAAACAATGATTTCATAATGTCTAAGACATAAAATACAACAATCACATGGATCTGATTGTATATCGAATAAAACTGTTCAATAGAGGATTCAAACAAAAAGCTTATAGAAAAATAGAAAATTAAATTGTCATACAGGTCGTATTATAAATTAGTAAGGACAACGGTTTTGGATAGAGTAGTTAAATAGTATTTTCTTTAATTGTATTAATATTTATTCAATATTCCAGTTCACGAGTTACGGCAAGGATCGATGTACGCCTACTCAATATCTCTTATTTATCTCAAAAAATTAGTTATATACGGATTTATGCTTCTATACCAAATAATCGAAGATGTTTTCTATATGATAAATGACATATGTAATATCACAGTAGGCAAGTCTGTAAATATTCAGACAAACGAAGAACAAAAACAATGATAATCATTCTCACTTTAGTCTAATTCGGCTTCTTCATTTTTTTGATATAAATAAAAAGCAAGTGTTTGATTTACATGCGTTCTATAACCAAAAACAGTCGCTAAGATTATCATTTATTTTCTTTTCGTCTAAATCCCTTTCTCCTGCTGATTATAAACTGATCATATGTCTGTTTTTTTCTAATATCCTTTATATATATATATATATATATAAATATAAATATGTATACAAACATTCCATAATCTTATTGATCATATTTTGAAAATGTCAAATCAATTTATTTCGCAGACACATGTGTATCAAAAAAGAAAACAAATGACGCTCAACTATTTTAGTTGAGTGTCATCGAACTCATCATAATTAATAATGTTTTTTTTTTCTGTGAGGTATCGCTGATAATATCTTGAAGGGAATGCATGAAGAAGAAAAAAAGCGATAGAACTTTGCTATTTATCAGAACGACAACGTGTGCAAACCAAAGCAAATAAGATCACGACAATAATAACAACCAACAGAATAACATGAAACACCCATCAGCTGCAGCAAACGAAGTCAGTAAGCGTTTAGGCAGGAAAGTAGACAGTCACAGAATAGAAAGACATTGCCAGATGAGGAAAATATCATCTATCATGTCAATCAGCCTGTCCCAAGCGGTAATGGAGATGGCTATAAGAGAAAAAGAAAAAAGAAAGAGAAAAAGATCTTACTGTACGATATGAGATATACCTCAACTGTTCTTTTCTTCAAGAGAAAGACGACTTCCATAATCATCATCCTAATAACATCGTTGTGTTTTTTTGTTTTATCTGTTGTTTGTCAGCTACCACAACTGCACTATACTACTTGCTCATATCTACATTTGTGTGCATTTATAATCAATGGCATCAGGAGGAACTACAACCGGTGTCGCTGCTAATACATCAAATGAATCGAATACTGGTCGAATTGATGTTGTTTCACTGATTGTCCTTGTATCTTATCCTAAACATTATCGTATATTTGCCGAAAAAGAATTGGTTCTTGAAATACTTCCAAATGCAGCTGAGTCAGCATTTGTCTGGTTTGGTAATTATTCGGCTGAAAAAGACGAACATCCACTTCTCTATATGGATGTTATAAGTAAAATGATTCGTTTGGGTTATCAAATAGCGGCATCAACTGGTGGTGGTGGTAATCCAGCTATTGGAGATAATATGTCAACTCATACATCGCATTATATTTTGATTCGAAAACGAGCATAAACAACAACAAATGAACTATCGTCCTTATTGATTTATTGATGCTCGGGTAGTAGAGATTTTCTCTTTTTTTCTTCTTTGCGTAGTACTTATTCTCTTTTCTTTACATTTTGTTTGTCTATTTCAATTAAAAAAATTCTAGTACATCTACATTATTTTAATTGTTAGCTTGTTTTTTTTTATCTTCTTTTTCTACATCCTTTAACACCCGGCTATATTGCGTTGTCATTTTCTTGTGTTGTTGATGAATAAGAGAAAAAGAGGAATATGATAGACCATATGATATTCATCAAACAGTACTGGCAACATGTGTGATAAATAGATAGAATATGGCTGAATAGAGGACTTACATAATGCAAACAGAATCATGGACAACCTTGAATGATTCATATGAATGATAAATATTGAATAGAATATATATGATCAACTAGAACAATAAAAGATAATGATTATCATGACATAATCGAAAGTATAAGATTAGAAATAATGAAATCTATTTATGTCAATTAACGATTATGAATCAACCTGCTGGAATAATTAAATATAATGCATTAAAAATACTATTTTAGTCTTTGAATACAATATTGATTATTATATTACCAATAAAAAAAAAATATATATATATATATATCTTTTAATTTATATTTTGATATATTGGCTGTAACTCAAATGGGCATTTAGTGTAATGATAACAATTAATTAGTCAAATTATAAAGACTATATATAAATTGACATAAAGATCCATATATAATTTTAAGCTCTGTAAAAAAAATCAATGATAGAGTTTTCAACAAAGCTTAGTCGATGATTTATCGAAAAGGCTTACTCAATTCAAAAATTGATACTATATTTATGTTTCTATATTTATCTTTTGTCTGAAAGTTGGTTAATATTAATTATGTTTGTCTAACTATTTCAAATATTCTAAAATAACTAAGAATATATTTAGAAAATACAAAAGACTAGATACTGCTGATTGTAAAAGTTCAGCATAAAGTATTATAGAAATATACGGCAAACTAGAATGAACTATTTTTTTTTTCTCAAAATCGTTTATTCTCATCTGAATGTCAGCATACTATTTATCATTTACTTTTATCAACTTTAGTGAGAAATAAAGGAAATCTAATAATTACATGTAATTTATCATCTTATCAAATGTTTCTCTTTGATCCTTCCGTTCTATTAACTAATAATAATTACACAAGCTCGAATACATATATATTTTTATTAGTTAATAAAGTTGTTTAATGCATATAACTAATGGCATTACAATACAATACAACTTGAAGTCTAAAACGCAAACAAATGAGTATATCCTTATGTAACTGATTCGATAAACAGAACTTTTCATTAGTCTGTTCTTAGTTATTGTTAATTATATGAATTCCTAATATGGATTGTCATTATCTTCTAATCTATATAAATATTGATGCATTTTTTTTTTCGTAGAAATCAATCAGTTCATAATACTTGGTCAATACTTTAAATTTTCTAGTTCAAATAATAATTTATTCAACAAAAAAAAAAAAAATAACGCCAGGTTTCTGTTCTTTACTGATTGAATACTTTAATTCGACGAAGATTTCATTTTCCTGTGATAGATGGCGTCCATTATTCAACATATATTATTCGATCAAGAACATTAGATGACAGTAGTTATCATGGCATGTATTTCAAACCGGACAAAAACCGTCCGTAGATCGTTCAGTAAAATGTGTATCATACTGACAGTTTTCACCAATAGTGAGAAAAAAACCACTGATAATTTGATACTTAAACAATCAGCTATTTTCTGATCGCCATTCTACCGCGTCATACCAACAGTTCTTCTTCAACCAGTATACTACGGCTAGCACTACCGACGGTAGTGCGAACGAACTTGCAACATGAGTTCTTATATAAAGAACCTACATGTATCATATAAAAGAATTTCTAAAATTACTCGAATGTGATGTATCACTAATAAATTGATAAATATCAAGTCGTTTGAAAAATAAACTTATGTTAATTCTAAATTTGATAATTCATAATATCATTAGATAATAAGATGTTACTATTCGTAATATTCATAAGTCTTTTAATATTTGGATGAATCATAAAATTTTGTTCTATTTCAGAACTTTGTATTTAGTCTTTATGCCTTCTATTCTATTATCAATAATAATCAGTCAACTACATAATCTTGCTAACCAAGTATTAATGAAATTAAATGTACTCTTATTACTATTAGAAGAAAAATTGAGCTTAAAAGATTTCAAATGAACGCTTTCGGCATGAAAAAAGATCTTTTTTTATTGTGCTTTTCTTGAATGAATGATTGAAAACTCTAATTGAAGCATTCAATGAATAGACAATTGCATTAACCAGTACACCAACATCAATAACTTTAAAAACACAAATCAAGATACAAGAGAAAGTGTCGTTTTTTATTAGAATGACATAACAATTAACACCCATCGCTATTTATTATAATAATACGTAAAAATTATTAATTTATATCTTACAAAAAAGAATAGAATCGATATACGCAATTTGACGTCATCAACTTATGTATTATTAGATCGCAAATGTTTATTTCATTATATATATATACATATATATATATATAATTATATTGATAATATATATTTTTTTTTATGTAGATAGTATATGAAAGAGAAACTTGATAAGAAGAGAAATGATTTATTTAGTTATTTGAACTATGAAAATCTTTGGAAAACAAGGTCATTTTTGACGAACTATTTCAATGAATAATTTTCTGGTTTACTCAGTATTATAATAATCAATTATCACCTATGACTATAGTGACAATCATAGAATTCAAATTCATATACAAAATTGATATCAAAAGAAAAAAAAATATTAATATAATAAATATGATATTTTTTTTTTTTTTTTTTTTCTGAATACTAATATAAATTCTGTTTAGAATATTTTTATATATGATAAATACGAAATCGAATAATCAATTATTTTCAATATGTAATGAAATTAATATAGAAATTGAATAGAGAAAAAAATAAATCAAGACTTTCGTTTGAAATAAAATTTTCTATGAAAAGTAATTACAAAAAAATTTTATTTGTTTGATATCAGATGATTCAAACTCAAGTTAAATAAAATACGACTAGACTTAAGTTCAAAAGATCTTAAATATCTGTCTTTTTTTTTTGTTAATTTGTAATTTTTTTTAAAATTATTCTTATTTTGTATATATTCTAACAGAAGTCTCTATTGTTTCATATTCATAATCTAATTACATATAAGTTACCAATAAATTTAAATGCAAATGATAGTCTTTCTTATAAATACTTTAGAGAATACTATCAAATATTGATTAATACACTTAACATGATTGCCTTAGAAATTTTGATTAAATTTCTTTGTAAATAACGTTTCTTTTCTTTTCTTTTTTCTTTTTTTGAACTTTCTTTTATAATTTTAGCTTGAATGATCAATAAAAAAAAAAACTATTTCTTCTCGAATTGTATTAATTGCACAATAATACATGTTAATATAAATAGACTCCATTTGATTGAATATATGTTCTCCAAACGAAAAATGTTAGTTAAATATTGTTGTAGATCAATGAGTGCATAAACTATTATTGATCAATATTCAATAGAATATGATATGAAATACAGAAAGACTTCAGAACTAATAAAAATTATTTGTATGTAATAATAAATTTTAATATTCGATTTAAAATAGTTAAGAAAAACAAAAATCTTCGGATGAATTTTTTAGCAATCATATTTCATATGAATATTATCCTTATAAAAGAAATATTATTATATTAACGAATTTAATATATTTTTCTCTTTGCTATTATTTTCTTTTAATCGTTCAATCAAGATAAATGTCTATATTGTATTCTCAAAGGATTTTTGTTTTTGTATTTTCGATTTTATCATCATCTTTTTTTCAATAATTTTCTTATATTTTTTACTACACTAATGCATTATGAATTCCATTTAAAATATAATTTGATTATCGATGAGATATATTCTTCATCATTAATGTCAATTCAAGTTTGAAGACTAGAAAATTACTTTTTTGAAAATATTGACAAAAAAAAAAAAAAAAGAAGAATCATTTTAATGATGTTTAATCTTTCTATCAAGATTATTTGATAAAGAATCGCTCAAGGCTAAATCAATCAAACCCAATAAGAATGACAAATAAGTTAGAAGCAGTATAGTAGCTAATATATTGAGAATGCCAAGATTATTCAAAAAAATGTAAGATATCATGGATAGATTTTATTTTAGTTTAAAAATAAATTTAATCTTGATCCACTCCTCAACTGATATGTGATAAAAACAAATACTTCGAAGATATGTCTTATTGTTGTTCTTGTTAGAAAATAAGAAAGCAAAATCAGCTGACATTGATATAGTACATATTATTGCTGTTGAATGTAATATAAACTTAAGCAATAGAATTCAAATACTGTATTCAAACAGTATCCAAATGAGCCTAGTAAGATTAAGACATTTTATATGAGAGCGGATAAAAATTAAATATTTATTTATTTTAATGTCGGAACAATGTTGTTTTTGTCTATAATAACTAGATTGAAATAGATATTTGTCTATAGTCAGGATTATATATATATTAGGATAAATTGAATTTTTTTAATCTATTTTTAACTTAATATAAAGATAAAATGTCACGCGATGAACTTTATCTGACAGATGATAACAAAAATAATCAATAAAATACTTCATCAACAAATAATCACGCACTTCAAATATCCTAACTAATTCAACATCTATTTTCTTTTAAGATTTTCTATACTGGCATATTTTCTTTTTTTTTTTTATCTATTCAGAACATTTTCAAGTATATTTTGCAAGTGCACATTCTTCCGCATTTGAATATAATTAGTCCTAGCCGATGCGACGACCTTTCGTCTTTGCTACTCCCGATTATCGTAAAGAAATTCATTCGATTATATACATGAACACTCTAGATGACGACAATATAGACTGAAACGA